AGGTATATATGTGTGAGATGCATCAACGAGTGGAATTGAAATGTGCCGAATGAGAAGGGCGTGTGATTTTCTATGTACGTCAAAATTTGAATCCGCTCGTGGCAAGAAACGGACAATGCGCGCACGTGTGCAACACTTTTAACATTCTGTAATATATAACTGTTTTAGCGAGACACCTTTAGGATAATTATTCGGAGCGTATTCCGGGCGGAGAAATTGCGAGGACGAGATGAGATTTTTCGCGATTTTCTACTCGTATATCTGTCCTCCTCTTTTAATTATTAACCTTTATCGGCGCTCTCCGAACTTAAACGAAGCATTTTCCTTTATTTCATTATTCGACACGTACACTTTTGAGAGAGAGAGGGAGAGAGGGACACAGAGAAGGAGCATCTTGCGACGCGAAACACGCTCAAAACGAAGTTTCGTAAATTACTGAATGAAAACAATTAACGCCGCGCACTCCACAGATGGAAGCTGCACGGAGAGGAGAAATCTCTCCGTTGACGACGACGACAGAGCCGCGCGTGCTTCCTCGCGATCGAACATCGTGATGTCTGTAAAACAACAAATGTACATACCTACATCGCACTAATTTAGTATTGCCACTAAGTATTACAACTAGTCACATAAGCCAAAAGTTTGTTACTCTCGCAGAAGTTTTCTTTTTTTCAGTTTTGTAAAATAAAGGAAGATGATAAAAACCAAAAAAAAAATGCACGGCGATACGTCTGCCCCTTTCTCGGATCTTCCTTTGAATTTGCCCGGCCAGACGACGGCGGACTTCTGAATGGCGAATCGCGGATCGAGACCGGTCGTTCACCGAGTAACTTTATCGTCTTCCCGCGTCTCTATCCGTCGTTGTAAATGTTTTTCAACACAGACGGAATGCGATCCTTCACGCTGTTACCTCACACCAGCCGCAACCTCCTGTCGCGCCGGTTCTTCCGCGTGCGAATCATGTTTTTTGTTGTTTCCCCCCGTGCATAAACGAACTATTTACAACATCCTGCCGCGCTGTTTGGTATAATAAGCGTCCGATAATGATCTCTCGGAAAGCGGAAACGAATGACGCTCTCTCTGCGCAGAGCGGTACTTTTACATAAGCAGCAGCGAGCCACCACTAGCCTATCACACACGCCCTCGTTTCCGCTTTCGTTTTCGATGTGCGTTTCGTTCTCATCGGAGGCCCAGCGACCGGCCTGTCACCGATAAAAAAAAACTCGCTCGATTACGCTACGTGCTTTCGTGACGCGCGTATGAGAACATTGTACGACGAAGGTTACCAGAAGGTGCACGCCGCGTCACGCTCGCCGCCTCGTCTCAACGTCAAGCGGTAGTCGATCGCGACGAACAGGTAGGTGTGAGACTGATTTTTCTTTTTTCCTTTTGACACCGACTGATCCAGTTTCCTGTTGTGGTTTTCGGCCTTTCGATCTTTTTCTCGCGGCTCAATCTCGTCGCGTCGTCCTACGCTTATCATCTATCATGTGCGAGATTCCGTAAGGTAACCAGCCAGTTCGCGAGAGAAGCGCGTCAGCCATTTCTAACTTTCAGTCGGACAGATGTTAGACTTCCTTATCCTTCGCCGCAGTCGTCTGGTTCGATGACGTCAGAAGCGAGAAAACGCGTGCGCAGAATTCTTCCGGTGTACGTTCAAATAAAAAGATACATCCATAAAATGACATTTTATGGCTGATTCAGCACTCTTGTGAAATATTCGGAAAACTTTCCTTCCGTTCTAACAATTAATAAGTTGCCGTAAAATTAACATGACATGCAACCTTTTGTTTAACTTGCCTTTTCTCGTGATTTTGTTACGTCAATCTCACGGTTATTCATTGATTGTTCGAATAAAAGGAAAATGTTTGGAGTATTTTACAACTGCTGAGTCGATTACAAATATTTATATTTATATTCATATCCTTTATTAACGAGATATATGGTTGAAAGAGAAATATACGAGTTGTGTGGCAAAGAACAGGATTGTGTAAACCACTATGTAGAATAACGTAGAACAAAGAGAATGGTTTGAAGATTTAAGTAGTGACGAGGAAAATGGAGAAGGATATAAGATAAAAAGTTAGATATAGATAATGAAAATATATTGCGGAAGTTAAAGATAAAAAAAGAAAAGAGATAAAGTTAGTGATATGAGAAAGGAAAATAAGGTTGAGAGTAAAAGGATGTAAAGAGAAGGAATAAGCTGTTAGTGGGATTAGTGTAAAAATTAAGTAGAAAATGAATAAAAGTGCATAAATAAATAAAAGGATAAGTGATTAGATAAAAAAAGGATAAGTGATTAGATAAAAAAAGTTAGGATAGATAGAATTGAAATAATAATAATAATAGGAGAGAAGCATTATCTGTGCGGTAATATTTGTGTATTAAATTTTAACTAGTCAAGTAGTTATAAAGGATGGATGAATGCGTGAAGTAGATAAAAATTGTGAAATACAATATTTTAAATATCAAATGCCACAAACGTCATTTTGCGGGTATATCTTTTATTCGAACGCACGCCACAAGAATTCTAAGCTCGATTTCCTCGCTTCTGACGTCATAAAACAAGACGACCGAGGCAGCGAGCCTTAAATCAAATTATCATTTTCATGATACAATTGGCGGGATTATCTGTTGATAAGAACAAATGCAACGAGTTTCGCTATAAAAAGTGGAACGACACGAGATCGAAAAAGATGCTTTAGTCGTTGAAACAATGTATGATGTATTGATTTCGATAAATGAAGAAAATTCACTCCAATTACGGTGCCTGTTGACCAATTCCACTGATACAACAGTATTTTGTCTCACATGAGATCATCATAGATTTCGGCACTTTTTCTCTCCCTTTCTCTTTCTTTCTCTTCCCCTTGTTCTCCACTTTTATCTTTCCCTCCTTATTCTCGCTCCGTTTCATTCTTTTCTTTCCGCCCTCCCCTCTTTTGTCGTTTCTCCCTTTTATTTCTCGTTGTCGAGCGGAGAGGTATCTCGACATCTTGACGGCTGCTCTCGACACGGGGCTGTTTTGGCGGTCTTTAATTATGCCACCGCTACGATCCCACCCCGTGGGTATCTTGCAACCTTCTCCTCCGGGAGGAAGAATGAGAGGAGAGCGGGGAGCAACGTTTTGCTGCCTTATGCTTGGCGAGTCACAAACCGTGTGGTGATTGCTGCCGCTGTTACCGGCGTGTTCGCGTGATACCAAATCGCGCTGCATAGTTTCACGGCATCGGGCTCTGCGTGGCAAAGCGTGTTCGGACGAAACGGACGAGCGACCGAGCGGATGCATTCTTTTCACTTCTTTTTCTCTCTCTCTCTCTCTCTCTCAGTTCCTTTTTTTTCTCTTAATTTTATTTTACGTTTCGCGCGTCGCCGATTATCGCGGAAATGCGCCGCGCGTTCCGTTCGCCAGCCGGGAGAACGGACGTCGTCCAGTCTTACCCCGAGGTCGGCCACTGTTCTCGCGGTCACTGTTACATGTTTAATGCGTTAACTTCCTTCTTCATAATCTTTCCGATGGCTGTATACATATCTATGTTATTTGTTTATCCACCTATATCGACCGTACCCAGTATATCTAAAGTAATCCTTAAGGTTACTTATTCATGATATATCTTGAGCGGAACATCTCTAATCTCTCCGATGTTCGTATGACTCATGCGCCGAAGGGTCTTCTAAAAAGTTCTAGAGGAGGTCTTCAGAAAATATGTATCTCGGCTCCAATCAATTTACGTCACTCGTAAGAGCCTGTAGTCGTCACAGCGATAACCACACGGAGAAAAGAATTGGCTCCCATAGCTAAAAACTAGCCATCCACACACGGAGAGAATATTGTAATGAACCTTACCACACAATTTTATAATGTTGGACCGGAATTATGACTAAAATTATTAATGTGTGTAAAATCTACTCGCCGAGGAAATCCGCTTACTTTCTTCACTCTATCAACGACCCCGACTTTTCATACATTACTATTAACTACTTCTCGAAGCGGCGCTCATAATATCACTCGATAAATCTCCTTTTCGGTGAGAGATCGTTTTCTCCTCTTTCGTGCGATCGCGCGTTGGGCCGAGATTAAGCACGCCGCGTGAGATATCATCTCGTCGCCGATGGTAATTACCCGGGGAATCCTTCAATCTTAATTAGCATCGCTCATTCGTCCGCCCGCGTTGGCATTTCTTACGTAAATAAAAGTTCGGACGAAATTATCACCGCGAGGCGAGCTCAAGAAAATCCTCTACTAATTTCATGATAAGGAAGAGGAGACGCGCTCGCGGAGGTGATTGGTATAAAAGCAGAGAAACGCCGGCGATTGGCCGTTTGATTTTTTTCTTTCCCTTCGGTAGATATCTCTCGGATTTATCGTCACCTCGGCCGCGTGCTTAGAGTTGCCCGACTTGACCCGATCGCGCCGATCAGTCGTGATTTATCCGCGGAGAGAGAAAGAGAGCTGCGTTTATCCGCAGATTCGCAAGTGAAGGTCTAAGGAGCGCGCCGTTCGAGTCGATCGATCGTTTCCTAATAGTCGTGTCGCAATTGCTCGCGCGAGTGTTGACAAATTTTATTGCTCGCATTTATGATTTGATTATCTCGGCGTGCCAATGACGTCACGTTGACGTCGTGTACAGAGAGAAAGAGAGAGAATTGCGTAACTTGGCCCTATATAAGAGATATTTTAATGGGATACACACGTTGAATTTCACCCGAGATCAGAGCCGTTGTTCCTTATGTTTCCGCGAGTTTCATGAATGTGGTAATTTCACAAGCTCGAACGCGGCCGTGTTCTCTCTCGTCGTGCACGAGAAACTAGCCGGATCGAAGTTGAAGGCCGACGTCTTTGCAGCAGTTTTCTGCCGGCGCGCGCGTAGCCTCTCTCAGCTTCGTGGAAAGAATCGAAACGATCGCGGCACGAAGGAGGAATGTCAACGTCCCGCACGGACGGACCGAGGTTTTCTGCCGTGCCACTACGTGAAACGAAGAAGAAGAGGAGGAAGATGAGGCTGCTCACGGCCGTCTTTCCCGCGTTTTTCTCTTTAGTAACGATCGCCGACTGTCTCACGACCGGTAGATTCTGCGAGCCCGAAACGGGAGATGGTGAGTCCGATCGAGAGATCGAAGATTATAGTCTCATCGCATCAAGTATATCAGGGGCTGTATTCGGTATGTGTGGTCAGCCGTAAAAAAGGTTGCAACGTTTCCCTCTCGATGAGTTTCGCCACGTATCTTGTATCCAATAGAAAAATGTATGTCTCCTAAAATTTACTAAACAAACAAATTCTATTGAACACGAGATGCGTTCCGGGATTGGTCAAAAAAAGTGTTGCAACCATTTTGTGATCGACTATACACATTTATCGACAAATGTCGGCCGGTATGTCTCGTTTAGCTATTTTATGTGTGTTGCGTGGATTATACACGGAGAAAAATAAGTTTGCTATTGCGGCGAAACCACGTTGTTGCTACTGCATATACTCCAGTAAATCCAACTATCAGTAACGTTACATCAATAATTTTCTACTCAACAATTATCGTTACATAATACGCGGTATATCGTATTTACATTGATGAGTGGAGAATCATAACATTGATGTTGTGTTACTGTTCGTTGATGTTTATTGGGTATTCGTTGCGACAATGATAAAATTAATAGTTGGCGTAACCAAATTAGCGAATTCATAATTAGAGTAGAAACAATCCTGAAGTTGTTGATACAAGGCCATTAAGAGCCGAGCACGGTAATTACAGTGCCATAGGAATTAAATAATAACCATATCCGGGATTGTTTCTCTACATAGTTATTTATCAAGATTATATATGTTGTCAAATATTAGAAGCAATTTTGTTATCAGGATAGAAAAATATTCGACCGAAAGGATTCATCCTTAAGACACGTTAATTTGCTGTTAGAACAAGATGGTATTTTCCTACGTTACTAACATTTTCTTGCAGCAAAATTTGTAGATTTAGCAAAATAATCCAGTGAAGGGCAATTAATATTCTTAACAAATCGTTTTGCTGTGCCAGCGAATTATTTTTCTCCGTGCACAACTTGACAAACCGACAGACGTCGGTAGGTGTGTGTATGGAATAGCAGTCCGGATCGAATGATCGCGCCTCGAAATTCGAGAATTCTCACGACGCAGTTAATGAATTCGGCCTCGGCGTATCCTCGTCTCTGCTTTTTTAGATTTTCAACGCGCACACGTCGGGCTGATTATCTCGCCCATAATGTCCAAGAAAATGATACGCGAGATTGAGATTTACTGGAATCACGCCAGGTACCAGCCGGGCGACACGATAGCTTTGTACACGAGCGAACCCACCGACGACCTCGAGCCAATTTATACCCTGGTACCAAACGCGCCGAGCGGCATCAAGAGGACCGGGCTGCAGGCCACGTTCGTTCCCACCTCGGACCTCATGTTCGTGCAACAATGTTTGAGTACGTACGCGATATACCCGCGGCTTTTGCCGGCGAGAGGCGAGTCGATAAGAACAAAGCCGCGAGGGCCGTCTTTGTTGCTTTTGTATCTTTTTCTTTTCCTTTCTCCTTCCTTCTTCTGTCTTTCCTTCGAAGATTAAATGTGTCGATGTCGCAGAAAGCTTTAAAGCGCTCGGGTTTGATTAGAGTACCACGTCGCCTGGTTGAGAAACAGCACGATCAGGCTGACGAATTGTATGCGGACGCAACCACGTTGGATGGCCGAGAGGAAGGACGTTCTGGGCTCCCTGTCGATGAACAGGATGTTCCTACCCGGCACGCACGATTCTGCGTCGTATGCGATACACGAGAGGGCCAATTCCGAGGATATCATTCACAGATTCGTGATAACGCAGGTAATTCCATAGATTACTCAGGGATCGCGGACGTTCATCGGGAGGTTTTTGAAGGAGGAGGAGGAGCTTGAAACCATCCAGACCGAGATAATAATGAACAACTATGGAATAACCGTTGCTGATAATCGTCAGGATAATTAAACCGCAGGACGTGGACGTGCTCGCACAACTGATCCACGGGGTACGATACCTGGACATCAGAGTCGGCCACTACCCGTTCACCAACACGGTTTGGTGGGCTAATCACGGGCTGTTCCGGGCCACTCCCATGCAGAACGTCGTGGACCAAGTGAAGACCTTCCTCAACAACACGAACGAGATCGTGATATTCGACGTGCAGGAGTTTCCTGTCGGTAATGTCTCGTTTGTTGAACCGTTTCTTGTATAATTAACATTCCTCGTTGCAGGGGAGTGACAATTTTTACCACCCTGAATATCCTCAAAATATGATAGCGGGGCAGAAATGTATCCAATAAAAATTGCATCGTTACGAGTGATCGTCGCTTAGAACACAGCTGTAAACATACATTTTTTTTACATCCTCGTCCACGGTCAATTCACCGAAAAGACAAATTAATTCACACTAAAAACTAGATTTTGCAGGTAAAAATTAACTGTCCGTATAATACAACTAAGATTTAATGAATTTGGTTAATTTCTTTTGTCTCGGTACCCAATTTTTGGCTCCCACAGCTAAAAACTAGATCTGGTAATTAAATTTCAGTTGTGTTATATGGTCAGCTAATTTCTTTTTCCGCGTCGTTAATGAGAGATTTTTAATTTTTCGAAGATATTCAAGGTGGTAGTTGTTCTTGCCTCATCATGTGTGTAATTAATAACACGGAATTCTCGTCAGGTTTCGGTTCAGAACTGGGAATACACCACGACTTCGTGAGATATTTGGAGGAACAGTTCGCCGGGTACTACTTGCCGAAGAGTTACGGCTGGAGCAGCACGCTCAACACGATCTGGTCGTCCGGGAAGAGACTCATCATCGGTTACGACGAGAAACGCGTGGTTAGCCTTTACGGGAGCGTGTGGCCCTGCGTGACGCACCAGTGGGGGAACGTCAGGAACATCCAGGACTTGTTCAATTATCTGAGCCACATCGAGACCGAGAGTATCGGGTACGTGGCATCGCACACCAAGTGTGACGATGACCGAGTTTCATTTCCCTCCCTAAATAGCATAATGTCTAAATTCGGACATAAAACGTCTTAAAGACTATCCCAACCGTCCCGACTTCAGACATTATGTTGCCCGGGTCGATTCTTCGCGAGCTGTGCTCTTCTTTCTCCTTTCAGACGTTTTAGATCGACACCGAGGTCGGCGATGGCGGAATTAACGCCTAACACGTTGGACGTGATCACGAACCGGCTCGGGGGCATCCGCGAAATGGCGGAGAAGGTGAACATCAACGTCACCAACTGGTACAACAGCAAATGGCAACGCACCGCGAACATCGTCGCCGTCGACTACGTCCGCTCGTCCGGCATCATCGAGACCGCGATCGAGTGGAACGAGAGACGGAATTCGCATTGCTAAGAGTCTCAACATCGCGAAATCTCAGAAAACCAAAGCAAAGTATAAACGACCTATAGTAAAATAGTAACTCTGTTCTGTAACTTTTAACGACGATGCCGTTATCGTTACGTTGTCGCGCCTTTCCTGCCATTATAACTTCGCGACGGCAATGTAACGACAACGTATACTGTTAAGATTTCCAATCAGTTAGGTCGCTGGTTGTTTTACCTTTGGATGAATTTATTTAATGAATAAATATTTGAAGAATGTTCCCATACGGAAATAAACTACGATACGAATAAATTACTGGTATGTTACTGTACTGGAAATTTTGTACTCTCGTAGTTTATTTTCGTACGGGGACGTTCTTCAGATAATTATTCATTACATAAATATATCCGAAAGTAGAACAACCGATCCTTAAACCTATTCTATAATATGTCGTATGTCGGAACGCAGTGAAGATCCAATGAGAGAATTTATTTCTCGACTAATTCTCTCATCGAACTATCGGCTGCATCCCGACAGCGACATGCGACTTAAGTCCATGTTCCGGATTCATTTTTATCGACGGAAGTGCTTTAAACGCGGCTTCTCAGCCAATCGGGCGGTTCCTAAGCCACTTTTACAGACACTTTTATCGATGAAAGAGAGTTCAGGATATTGACGTTGTTGTGTAACAGGTCTACTGTTGCGCCGAAGGCGAGTCAACTTCGCGCCAGAGTAGTACTTAATAATTTATTGTCCAGCTTGTATCTTCCAATGCGAAGTATGCGCGTTACGATTATGCTGGTTCATCAATAAGATAACAATCGAAAATCTACCTGCCATTAACTGTCTATCTGCGTTATTCTGCTTACCGAGAAATCCAGAGGCGGCGCAATACGATGCCGCGCGCACGTATAACTTTTCGCGCGATAATCGCGCATCCGCCGGATGCGGGAATAATGCTCCAGTCAAGGTAACCGAGAGAAACGGAATTGTCTGTCGCCGACGCACTGCGTCACCGTTACAGGTGCGTGCAGATGCGACGGCGGAGATCAGTCCATCATCCGGTGCAGACGATGCTGGTTCGCGTCCGCGACATCGAACGCCGAGGCGCTTCCGCGCGAAAGGACGACGGATCTCGCGGCGAAAGCCTGACGGGGATCCTTCGATCCTTCGACGTCGGCTTCCCTCTCGCACGGGAAAGCAGCGTTCCAGAATCAGTCGACGTCGAGAGAACCTCCCCGACGCACCCTCCAGCAGCGAATCCTCGATCTCGACTGTCCCGTTTCGCATCTCCACGGAAAATGTACTGCCTACTGTCGCTCTTACTACTGCCGATCGCTACGGCCTCGCAGCTGTGCGAGCCTCCCGAGTATCAGTTCTACTACATGTGCCCGAATAACACTCTTTCCTGCCCCGACGACAAGAGATGCGCCTTCGTCGAGCACTGTCCGGCGATTGCGTCGCTCATGGGTCAAAACGAGCTTCCTGTGCACAGGTAACGCGATCGATTTCGTACCTCCCCTGTTGAAAATTTCCAGGTGGACTCCCACGGGGATCCATAGGGGACTCACGGTGAGTCCATGGATAGGGTAACAAAGATCCATATAGAAATACACACGGTGTGTGGAAATCCGTGTAGGAACCCACATGGTTTGTGAAAATTCATGTAGGATTCCCACCTAGGATCTGCGTTTTTGTCGCAAATCCCAAGAGACAATCGTGGGGATTCCATATGGATCTCCTGTATGGATTCCCACCTGGCTTTTTTCGACAGGATTTCTTTTCTCCTCGTTTCCATTGATTTGTGCAAAACAAGCGATCCCGTTAATGAATGAATAAGTAAATAAATAAGTGAATTTACGTCAAACGGATGTAAACGGCTAAGCGTAGATTTTCCAAGGCTCGCTCATCCACTGATGTAGATTGCGACAAGCCGTGTGCGGGTACGATCAGACGCGCGTGAAAATCTGCTGCGACACGGCCGACTACTTCGGACGGCCGTCGTACGCGAATTCCGATCTCTACCCGACGCAACCGTCCCCGAACTCGCAGTGCGGAAAGAGCCTTATTTGGAACAACGAGGACGCTCTAGGGGCGTACCCCTTTGTCGCAAGGATCGGATTTATAAGCAAGTATTCGCAGAGAAACGCTCGTGTCGCTGAAAGAGGTCGAGTATCGATACAAGAGTGTCTCGGAAGTCACCGTTGGTAAGCAGGATAGTTTTCGCTAAGAACATTCAGCTGAAACTCGGCATTTCTAAGGAAACTGTGGTCGCCGAGAACGTTCGGCCGAAGTACAAAGTGAAAAAATATCATTGTTATAAAAATTATAATCATCGGAAACGCATGACTTCTGCGACACCGTGTATAGAGCGAACTACACTCAACCTCGTCTCCGTTCGAAAAGAACGGGGAGAGAATCGGCTGGATCTGCCTCGTTAGATGAAACATGCGCTTCCTCAGAATGATTAGCCAAGAGCTTCGCTTTCAGATATGTTAACGGGTGAGATGAAATACTCGTGCAGTGGCGTGATTGTTAGTGAGCGTACAGTATTAACTACAGCTACATGCGCACTCGCGAAATCGGAGAGATACAAATTGTACGTATATATATATATATATATATAGATGTATAACAGTCGAAAAACACAGTATATAACGAATAATGTCGTTGCTATGGATTTTCGATTGTGTACAACAGTCTCTGAGTCTCTCGATCAGTCTGGCATGCAACAATCACGGCAATTTACCGTTCTCACGTTTAGATGCTCTGTGCTTATCGGTGAATATAATACAGAGTCTGATCCGGATTGCAACGGATTATTTTGCGGTCGCAAAACCAGCAGCCACGACATATCGTACGTGATCAAACATCCGGGTCACGACGCCGCGACTTTCTCCAACAACGTGGCCTTGCTTCGCTTGAAGAAGACTATCGACTTCACAGGTATGTACAAAGTTCCTCAATACATATGTACACTCGAACGAACGACAGTTCACTTCGAGAGAAAGAGAGAGAGAGAGAGAGAGAGAGAAGCTGTCTCCTTCAATAAAATATGCAATACATCCGGTCTTCAGCCACAGCGCAACCTATATGCTTCATACCGGAGGACAGATACGTTAGCTTGGGAAGTACATGCACTGTCGTCGGATGGGGAAGACTGTCCGGTCAGAAGGGTATCGTATCGATCGAAACGAAACTACCGAAGCGTAAACTGTAGTATACAAGCGTAAAAAGTGTGAGTGTTTAGTATAACAACGTCCGTGTGCTGCGACCCTGTTGTAGAGCAGCCAACGACGCAACAGTCATTACAGCTAAAACTCGTACCTAAGCAGCAGTGCTCGGACTACCTGAGCCAAAGTCTGTCCGTCGAATTATGCGCCACAGGAAGCTGCGAACCCTGCTCCGGGTATAGCGGCAGTCCTATGTTGTACAAATATGCGGACACATATTTCCTGGTAAGTCACGAGCACGAAAAACATGTACACTACGACGGATTCGCGACTCGCGCGATCGTGCGTGTAATGTTTTACTTTTTTGTATTTTTTGTTTGTTTGCTTGCGCTTGCTTGCTTTCATCAGGTCGGAATCCTATCATATGGGTCTAGCTGCGACTCAACCACCGTTTTCCCGTCTGCGTTCGTCAACGTACAGAGGTACACGAGGTGGATCTTAGAGAATTACTGAGGCCGCGAGAGAGCGCGACCGTTCTTCAAAGTTTCATCAAAGAGACCCCAGTATCGAACGATCGGCATATTGCATCTTCACGTTTTTCTATTTTCTTTTACTTTTCGGTGAATTTTCTCAGAGATAATGTATTATTTATGTTTAAATATATTCAAATATTTGCCGCGCGTCATTTCCTTAGCCTCTTCTAGACCCAGCTGATAAGCTAAATCGTGCAGTCTTTTCACTTCCGAGATAAGCCCGGTCATTGATAAATTACCCAGTTCTGCAAGAAAATATTTCACGGTATTTAGCGACATAGCATGAAGAGTCGTACGTTAATGCACATCAACTCACGATGCAAGTGATTCATGTCGTCATTCGTGAGACTCGCTGTCCAGGAACACGGCTCTGTCTGCGGCGAATTTTGAGCGACAAACTCGTGCACACCTGGAACTTCATTGCTTGCTAACATATACATAATGTATTATGTATGTAAACTCTAAGAAGACCTTTAAAAAAAAGTGCACTCACTTTGTTCAGGCCATAAGTCAGGCGATGCTCTGTCCAATTTCTCTAGGCTCATCAAGTTCTCCTCTACACAGGACAGATCTGTAAAACAGGAATTTGCTGTCACATCTTACTTTAACCTTCATCAGTATAGAGTGATTTTATAACAGATAGAAGAGCCTCAGAGGCTTTCAGTATAGAATAGCTGAAATTAATAATTCTAAAATATTTCGCTTCTTTTAATTCAGTTGATTTATTTAGGAAAATAGTAACATTATGAATATAGATGATAAGCTGTTTACTATTAAATTCATTACTAATAAAAGAATCTCAGAAGTTCTTCTATCCAGATAAAGGTTAAATTGTTTTTATGTCTTCAAAATATATTTCCTTTTTTATTCTATATACAAAATATAAAAAATGGTTTCTAATTTGATCAAATAAAATATGTAGCATTACGTGAGTAAAAACTCTTGCGATATTTTTATCAGAAAATAAAACACGAGCTTTTTGTATCTTCAACATGTATAACTGCTGTATGTATGTATGTCGTGTGTGTGTATATATCTGCACATGCTTGACAGAGGTGCTCTAAAAATACTTCTTGCACCTTATTTTTTTAAATATCATTTGCAAGGTTCTAAAACTTACCAGGTTGATCCGTTGTTTCATCGGCAGCCATAACGTTGGTATCAACGAACAGCTATTCTCAAACTATCCTTCTGGAAGAACGTCGACCGAGTGATATATCAATCACAAGGAAGTTGTGACGCTCGATTACGTAATACTCGAACTTCGCACTATTCTAGTCGTCTGTACTGCAGGAAGAACCCGTCACTCGGAAGGAGCGAGGCCTCACACTACGTATTGTCTCCTTCGATCGCCTGTTTCTTGCGCAATTCCTTGGCTAACTCGATCTGCTGCTGCAGAATGTAGACATTTTCGGCCTTCCGACGTTCTTGTCGCTCAATGTCTCGCGTAATACCCAAGCGAAGTTGCTTCCTGAAAACACCGCGCGCACATAACCCAACCGTCGAATATTCCGGCTCTCCGATGAATCTACCTGTCGTACGCCTGTTTGTAATGCACGTAGCCGATTATTCCGACAGATACGACGAAACACAGACCGAAGGTAGCCTTGGACGCTATTGACATCCTTCCTGTCGAGAACGGCGTATCACTTACGCCGCAAAGTTGCCACACGTGGTCGCGCGAGTCTCGCTCGGACAATCGATTATAATCGATTCGCGCGTTAGCGCGAAAACACGTGATCGTTGTTTAATTTTGCCGGACAAAAAGAAAATGCGGACGAACAACGGACGACGCGCAGCGATAAATGAGCTATCTTAAGCGTAGCGCTTTGGACGTTCTCCAAAAATTATTCCAGAATGTTATTTCAAAATGATCTAAAACTTCGTCCAATGAAAAGTGTCGCCACTGTTCTGTTCACAAGTGTGCATGTACGCTATGACACAATAATGGCCTATGGAGGAGCATGTTCGAACATCCGGTAGTCGGGCATGATAAGAAGAGTACATTTTGGTGTCCGTGCAAACGCCTAGATACGATTCATTCCGTGCCGAAGACATGCTAGTCAAGTATATGCAATTATTGTGATTATAAATTGATGAGTATTCCGTAAACTTGCCATTTCCACAAGGAATACAAACATCAAGACGTATATCTATGACACAGGTGAGAAGATACCCAATTAGCTAGTCCGCGGGAATGTCGTGTGGTTTTGCTGCTTTTGTTTTCGCAGGTTAGTTCATAGTGACGTAATTCCGAGATGAAACAATGTCCTAAATATCTTGATTGCAATGGCATGTTGTATTCAGTTTATTAATGCAATTACCCCCTGAGATCACGTACGCGTGTAAGAGATGCTGATGTCGCAGGTCTTTGAATTCTTTATGAAAAAACAGGCAACGTGTTTAACATTTATCGTCGATCGTTCGTCGCTTACACTTCGTTTAACATTTCCTATATTTGTTTATATAATCATTTATATGCCAACTTTGTATCTGAACAGCTTCTAGTGTTTGGTACAAAGTTTTATGGATTAGTGAAAAGTCCCGTTTTTTGTAGCAAGTGTATATTACCTTCTTTATATTGTTTGCAGGATCGGGGTAAAGGTGACCTTGTTCTCAGCAAAAAGTTATCATATTTCTTACGTCATGGTGCTGTAAAGGAAGGTCTGACTATCAAACCCAACGGTTTTGTCCCGATAGAAGAATTGTTAAAGAAGTCATTGCCTAGTTACACCATTGATGATATCAAGAGAGTGGTGAAGAACAACAACAAACAAAGATTTACCCTAAATGATGCTGATGGCGTCTTAGAGATAAAAGCAAATCAAGGCCACTCCCTAAGCGACATAACTGAGTTGAGTTTAAAAGTACTTGAATCTGTTGATTTTGATATAATTCACGGGACTTATTTTAAACACTGGACGAAGGTAAAGACTGAAGGTCTGTCTCGTATGAGGAGAAATCATATTCATTTCGCTAAAGGATTGAATTCTATCAGTGGCTTACGCAAAACCGCAGAAGTCTTCATTTATATTAATTTCGATAAGGCCAAGAGAGATGGTTTAATATTTTTTGAGTCGGAGAATGACGTTGTTCTCTGTGCTGGAAATTCACAAGGATTTATTGGAACGACGTATTTTCTGAAAGCGATCAATAAAGATGGTCAAGCTCTAAGCTTTGATCGGGAATAATGGTTCTTGCTTTCCTTTCATTTCTCTAACATTGAAGAATTGATATTATCAGTTTAACCAAACTCAGCATAGTACAATAAATATCTATATATATGTGAGTGTGAGCCATTATTTTATAGCTCTAGTATATCTATCGAGTATTTTTGACAATGAATGCTGGAAAGTCTACTGAACCTGTTGAACACACAAGTAAACAAGTTGCTACTAGCTCGAATCATCATGAAGAAAGAACAGAGGAAGCTTTCTATCCACCGGAAAGGTCAGTTTGTGTTTGCCCCTTGCCAACATCCATATCGCGAGCCGAATTAGTATGCTTCCTCCATCAATTTGGAACAGTTAAAAGAGAACAATTCAGACGCAAATCTTTCATCATTGAATATTATAATAGGTAATTTATAGTATTCATGAGGAATGGTATTTATATGTTTATAAGTTTATGTATGCACTAAAATGTGTGGATGTTGTAATATTACAGTAAACCTGTTGAGCTATTGTTGAGTAAAGTACATTGGTTTCAAGGGGAAAAATTATGTCTAAGAAGGAAAGGTGAATTCGATAATGGTAAGGACACTAAAAATTTATCTTATATTGTCATACATATTGCTTTCCGCTATTTTTCCATGAAGATTCCATGATGTATGTTTGTTCACCTCTGTTTAAACTTTTCCAAGAAACGATCCCAAAGAAAAAGAAGCATTCACCGTCACAGATAGAAGCAGCCAAGAAGGCGGCGGAAAATGCAGATCCAATCAGTTACGTCAATATAAATCATGTTCTTGACAATAAGGTGGCTTTCGACAAGGAAATGACAGCGCTGTTGAATGAAATACAACTCAGCAACGAAGAATTGATGGGTAGATACAAGGTTATCTGTCCACATTTGAACGAGATATTCAGGCCGACTTTTCCGGAATGTCAAATCTTCAGCTTCGGTTCGACGGTGGCAGAATTGAGTTTTAAAGAATGTGACTTGGACATCTACATGTATCTCGGCAGAGTTGGTAAGTGAGATCTCATTGTGTGTTGTCATTATTTATGTTGGTGACATTTGATGAATAACGTTCCTTTCTTCCTCTTCGTTTAAGGTTTACCACCTATCTTCAATCAACCGAACGTGCCACAGCAAATGATAACCGCGATGATCTTCAAGAAAGTGAGGAAAGTCATGTATAGCTTGAGATACATCTTCACCGACATAATAGCGATCCCTAAAGCGAAAACGCCTATTATCAAGTTCCGTTATCTACCGACCAACGTTTGTTGCGACATCTCTTTCAAGAACGGCCTAGGGGTTTACAAGAGCCACTTCTTAAAGTATTGTGCGACGCATGAGCCCCGGCTGAAGCCGCTCATGTTGCTGATCAAATATTGGGCGAAGCATCTCGGGATCTCAGGCGGCGGCAGGATCTCCAACTACGGTTTGGTGTGCCTGGTCATCTTTTACTTTCAGAATGTCAATCTTCTACCGCCGTTGTTGGAGCTGCAGAAGAATTGCAGACCGGTGGTCATAAACGGCTGGCAGGTGAATTTCAACGAGAATACGCCAATACCGCCCACCACCAATAACTGCAGTATCCCGCAGTTGTTACACGATTTCTTCTCCTTCTACGCCGAGTTCACCTTCAATTCATTTGTCTTGTGTCTGTTGGACGGGAAGATATATCGGGCGATTGAGTTTGGGCAGGTGCACAACTTGCCCAATTACATGAACAGATACAAGAGCTACGTCTTGGAGAATAACGCCAGGAAATTGGACGTGAATAGGCCGATGTGCGTTCAAGATCCGTTCGAGCTCGATCAAAATACAACCGCGATCACGTCCGAGCGCGTCTTAGTGGCGTTTCAGCGTTGCTGCATGTTCAGCCTCGACGTTTGCAATGCCGTCCGTGAAAAGAATTACGATAACTTACTGAAGACGTTGTTCGGCACAGTGCCTCCGAACATGGTGCCACCGAAGAAGAAGAAGAAAGTCTACAAAGGAGTAATCACCGTTGGCCGATCCATCAAGGCCGGATTACCGGAGGATTTCGAGCAGCGCACGGACATCGTCGACAAGGATCAGTACATAAGGGAAAACTGGTACCACGTGGTCTTCAATCTGATCAAGGATATTTATGAGAAAGTCTTCAAGTTGCAAGTTAACGTATTTCTCGACCTCGAGACGAAGCAGAAGCAGATCGAGCCGTTGTCACATATGCACATCAGGAACAATCAGACAATCACGTTCCACTGTGCCGGCAACCAATGCGTATGGAAGAACAGGAAGAAGAATAACAAAACGCTCTTGGACGTACAGTTGAGCGCGCTGGAGAAAGAAGCGATCGTGTCGGATAAAGTATTGGAGCAGCTCAGCAAGCAGAACAACGATGGCGCACAATTGCTGAGTTTCATCTGCGCATTGGAAAAAAAGGTGGATCCAGTGGCGGTGGCTATTACGATGCACGACGAGAGTGCTGATAAGAGCGTTTACCGGCAGTTTGAGTGCTTCGCGGATAGTATGACCTCGAAGATAATCGAGAAAACGTTGTTGCACATGTTGCAATTTCAAAAGACCTACAGCCAATTGCTGCAAAACAAACAGCCATGATGGTCCTAAGGACATGATGTGCGTTACAGTCTTTCCTATAGTGCGCACGGACCAAAAGTCTAACGACTGGAACAATATAGATGTGTTGTACCAGCAGATTAAAAGGCATTGTAATATAATTTGAATCATGTTAAATTATCTTGGGAGATAATTCTTTGGGATCTCAAAGGACAATGTTTGCGTGTAAAATACAGGTCAGGATTATGGGTTGCGTAATAATGTTCTCTGATATTGCGTTTAACACTGCTGGACTTTTATTTTCTGTTTTCTACATCTGCGACGTACACTACGTGAAAGTCGTCTATCATTTTGTTATAGTTATTTATTTTACTATGAAATTGGTATTAATTTTACTTTTTTCTTTTTGGAGATAAAGACGCAAAGCTTCTATCAAGTGCTCCAATCAGCGTTCGGTTCTTGCAGCAGTGGTGAGATGTATTTTTGCAAGACTATTATGATCTTTATGATATTGTATATACACGAAGTACATGCAACACATTATTCTTTCGTCACGTTACATGGTCGTGTGTTATTTCCAAGCATGACCGTAAAGAAGTAAACTTTTGTAAGAATTAAAAAGCATATTCGTACGGAAACCCGATGTAAATCCACCTCAGCTTATTTATTTTATGTTTTCTTATCAGTTTCGGGTGCTTCGCATCACGACACCTTCCCGTGGAGTGGTTCTATTTGAACACTAAAATTATCAAACTTTGTCGAGTAATCGGTTTGTAATTTTTTCTTATAAAAAAGTTACTCCAATTTTTAATAGTACATTCTTTGAGATTAATCGTAATTTTTGTTGTAATGTGTGAACGAATAAATATTTTTTCCTGTGTATTATGTTTCTTTCTCAAAAATCCTATTTAAACTGGTCTCCGGTAGAAAGATATACGATAGTGTCGTGATGATTACAATAAGGTATTTTAAATCTTAAGAAATTGACCAATCATAGTCGAACAAGTGGAGAATAATTGATGATTATTTTGATTATTGTGATTGGTCAATTTCTTAAGACTTAGAGCTTAAATTCTCATTGTTAACCCCGTTTTAGTCCCCATCTAGAACAGATGCTTTAAGTCCTAAACCGTAAAAAATTGACCAACGACAGTCGATTATTCTCCTCACGTTTGACTACGATTGTTCGATTTCTTAAGGTTTAAGGCTTAAAACATTTATTGTAGACCGGGGTTTATATCAGACTCAGAATATGCTTGTTTTCTTGACAAATCTATGAAATCCAGCACATACTAAAAATTAACCAATCAGAACAAAGAATTTATAATATGTTACTAGGTCTCACTAGATCTAATAGAAAAACAAGTATCGTGTGACGCGGGCTTTAAGCAGTAAGAAATTGACTAATCACAATCGATTATTTTTTGGTCGTAAAAGAAGAATACCCTTAACTGCCATTGTTTTATGGTTCTGGAGCCCGATTTTTGAATTCGTGCGATTATGGCTTCTGCCCACAGTAACGCTTGCCGCGCGGCGGAAGTTCGCGCAGCAGCCAATAAACTTCTAGTTCATACCGAAAAACGGCATGTTGATTGGCTACCGTTCGAATTTCCGCCGTACGACAAGCGTTGTCGCGTCCTGTGGGCAGAAATCATGTGTTTCGTACATTAAAACTAAGATCCACTTAACGCTGCAAGTAGAGTGCCTCTGATCACTCTAGTTGCTAGCGTTTTGAAGCGTTTTAGTTTGTACGGATCATTGCATCGAGTTCCTGGTAAACAAGCGATGCACAATCGCGTCACATGATATCCAATGAACGTGCTATTATTTAGAAACAGCTGTACGCTTATTGGGTGTCACGCGTCGTGTGTCGCTTCGCGCATTGCGCTGGTTCGTCAGAGTCATTAGATTCTTTATTTTTCCGTAAGAATAACAGGTCTACTAACCTGCAGATCCGATTTAGACCCTATACACGGATCTAAATCGGTGTGCAGATTTTTACCCGTTTTTCAGTTGCGTTTTCTATATTTTTTTGCAATCTTTCTTTCTCCCTGTGTCTCTCGCTAATCTCGAATATGTTATTTACTTTATTTCAAGTACGAAAAGTGTATAGATGAGGGACTGTAACGACTGTTACGGATTGATGTTTTTCGCATCGATGGTGAAAATACATCGGAGACGCGTTCTTTCAACGATTGACAAGTTTCAAAACGACGCGTCGCAGATCTCGATGAAGACGATTTGTGTGCAACGACGTGTGCGTTTGTGCTTACGATAAGTGTATCTGATGTTATTTCACATAGAATCGTTCGTTTCCAATTGCACTTTATTTCTCGTCTTTTTCTTCCTTCGGAGCCTACGTCTATGTCGCTTTCGGGAAGCGAAGAGTGCTATGGAAATGGACATGGCTTAGGTTAACTTCTTTGTTGAGTAACATGGCGGGACTTGTAGAGAGAAACTTTGCGAAATCCACCTTTTTTCGACTCAGGATATTGTTTTAGCAACTTTTTGGAATTATGGTAATACGTTCCCGCATAGCTTTATTCTCCTTTTAATCGGTTCTAGATTATTGATTACGCATCGTCGGTTGCAAGGCAGTCGCGTTGAAAACTGTCGGATTGCTCCTTGCTGTAATGCTGTGGATTATCGACGAAACTTGGAAATTTTGTTAGTCATTTCATTGATTTAACGGTACGAACGGAGACTCGGCGGAAGACGTTTAATCATTCTTGAAGTGGTATCAAATATTATGTTTACATTTTGCTTTACACTGTGCTTCGACTGAACTATTGCAGCAATTAGAGCAGCTGTTTTCAGTAATTTCAGATTGGATTTTATGTGAAATTAAATGTTAAATATGGGATCTTAACTATAAATAGGAGAATCTCGTGTATATATATTTTGATGAATATATACTGAAGATGAACTGTGTTGTATTGTAGGTATGTTAAAGTAGTTACTGTAGTCACAAGTGAAAACAACGTGATCTTATATCCCTGACTAATTATTTAAGCTCATTATTTACTATACTTTAGTTTTACTTTGTGCATCCTTCTGAAATTGTAGTCGAGACAGTTCTCTCGATTACGCCAAATTATTGTGGCAATTGCAAATTGGTGAACAAGATGGGCGACGAAAATAATACAGAAGAGCAAGCGAAAAGCCAGCGAAATAAGGAGACAGAAAGTACTTGCAAGATATATGTGAAGCCACCTCACGAGATAATGAAGCCACCACCTTCATTGAAAAGTACCAACGACGATGTGCTGCGCGCTATCCTCAAGGAGATGCCGGACGAAGAGCTGCAGGAGTTCCTCAATGAAGAAGAATTCATGGAAGGACTGGATGTTGTGGATGCGTGGGAAGGTGACGAAGATAAAAATCGCGAGGCTGAACACCTCCCGGCGGACTCAATGGAGCAGCAAGAGAAGCCAGAATCTAGGTAGTTGACTGATTGTACAAATGACCTTTATATAATTTATTGTTACTTTACAGATATACAAAAATAAAGATGTTGTACGGGACGTTGTTATTACACACACACACACACACACACACACACACATTTACAGAAACACACACGCACGCACACGCAAGTGCAATCGCTGAGTAGAGAAATCACAATCGGCGCGGTGCGCGCGTTGTGCTTTCTTTAATCTGAGTTAGGAGCGAATTTCTCCCACTCGGATAAACCTATGTTAATTCCTCCAGGAAACGATTGGTGGCAAGAGCAGTGAATGATGGCGAGAGTAATTATAGGGAACGTCACCAGCGTCCGGCGCGCGAGCACAAAGGATCTAAAGACACGAAGGAACGCGAAAAGCCGAAGAAAGAAAAGGAAGAGAAGAAGCGCGAGGACAGCCAACGTCGAGATCCCGCCAAGAGCACCAAGGACATCGAGCGCGACAAGATCCGGACGAAGAGGGACACGGAGAGCAAGCTTCTTGCGGAGAAGGAGAAGGCGATCAAGCACCTGCTGGACTCGGACAATGTGGTGCCACCGGGGACAGAGGTCGAGGCCATCCAGAGCATCGCCGAGAGGCAGAATCTCGAGCGGGCGCAGCAGCGCGAACGCAGGAGCCGCGAACGGCGCAGGAGCGTGGACCGTTACGAGCGTAGAGCGAGCCCGCCGCGGCGCAAGAGTCCCGACAGGATCAACAGATCGAGTCCTCACCGACGTATCAGTCCGGAACGTCGCAGGAGCCCTTTCGGCAGAATGAGCGCCGAGAGGCACAGGAGCCCGCTGGGCTACAGCCCGGGCGGCAAACGCAGGAATTCGCCGCGTTATGTGTCCGACCGCAGGAGCCCCAGCTTATCGAGCCCGGAACGGCGAAGAAGTCCGCGACGACTCAGCTGGGAGCGGCGATCCAGCGCTGACCGACGATGGAGCACCGAGCGACATCGGAGACGCGACATGCACGAACGGTGAGGATATCAATTATTCTTAACGTCTCTGTAAAGTGTACTTCGTCTAGCTGTACTGAATAACTGTGTCGAATATTCGGCCAGACACCCACCCTTGGCTACCTCTTGGCCGGCGGGATACTCAACGTCACGTTATTCATTAAGCGAGATATTTTCATTATCTGCTTGATTTTTTAAGTCAATAAATCGAGTCGATTTTTCTCCGGCGAGTAACACGGCGAGTAACCACGAAGCTCGAGGATCCGCCGAGATTTCTGCTCGTGTTCGCCGCCGAATATTGTTGTGTATATATATATATATATATATATTGTGTTGTGTATATATATATTGTATACACACACACTCTTTTTCTCTCTGCACCGGTATCCCACAGGTCCGTCACCGCGTCCTGCGCGCGACCACTGTTTGCTTTAGATCTTTATTTACTTGGGTTGATACTTTAGTACGTGACCTCATTGTCACATATTGTCATATACATGGCATATGATACTTAATCTTACATTCCTGTTGCGTGTATTATGCCGCGTAAATTCGAATAAAAGCACACACTAGAGCCTACCGATGTCAGTCGATCGGCCGATCGTCTCGCAAATCTTGTAACCCGCTTGGAATTGTTTGTAAGAAGCCGGAGAAGCCGATCTCGCGATCGGAGGAGCCGCAGCACGGAACACCCGAGAAGAAGATCGAGCCGCTCGCCGATGAACCGGCGATACAGTCCACGTCGGCGCAGTCGTACGCGCAGCAGATCGCCGGAGAAACGGCCGCGCAAACGTTCACCCTTTATCAATGAATTGGCGCGACAGTTAAGAGACGAGTCGTTGAAGCCGCCGTCGGGCGGCAACGCGAACAGCAACAGCGCCGGCGGATATTCGGCGACGCCGATGCTCAACGTGCCCTACCAGTCGGACACAGCAGACACGGGCAGGCAAGTTCTCGGGGGACCGGTTTACATGCACCAGCCGGGCCCACGGCCGCCGTTACAGCCGCCCCCGCAGCCACCACCGCCTCCGCCGCCGCCGCCGCAGTCGTCGTCCGTCATGCCGGGTTTTATCAACTTCGAAATGCCGGTCGTGCCCATGACCTTCGAGATGCCGATTACTCCGCAGACGTTGCCCCCGGCGGACTACTCCTCCGGCCCGGTCATGTACAACCAGTCGAACGCCGTTTCCGTTCCGGCCCCTCCACCGCCACCCGGCGTCCACCCGCCTTTGCATCCTGCGTCGGCGTCCCCGCCCGAACCTGTTCCCGCTCCGATGGATCACGGCCAGTTGCCGTATAATCCGTCGCTCATGTCCTCTGCCCAACAGCCGATTCACCAGTTCGAAAACAAACCCTCGATAGCTGCCCTCGCCGCCGCCGCGTCGTTGCAGAGCTACGAGCAGAAATCGTCGTACAACAACGCGCCGTATCATCATCAGCTGCACGACCAACGACTGAAGACACCGGAACCGCCAGTCATCTCCAAGTCAAAAGTAATTGCCGCAATATGTATCATAGTGACGGGTATCTTATTTTCAAGAACGGCGGAACGACAGAATTATGCTTGTTCGTTTCTTCACGGAGTTTAGTAAGAAAGAATGTGCTGTTAATGTTGTTTCGTTTGTCATTTATCTCGATTACGATTTTTTTTTGCGAAAAGAGAAGGAGTGAGAGAGTGCGGATGTGTACAGGTGTATGTGTGTGTGAGAGAATGTGTGTGAGGGAGGAAGAAACTTAACGTGATGTTTTGTATGAATTGTTCTTGCAGCAATTCGAAAAGACCAGCTTGTCCAGTCTATTGGAAGCATCTGTCTCGGCCAAAGCAGCGAGTAGGTTTTTTTATTCGTTTTGACTGGTGCTTCGATTCGCTTAGAATCGACGACAGTCCTCTTTACCACCCGGCCACACTGGTGAAGAACCGTGTGGCCACGTGGGAGAAACTATACTAATTTTCTATATTTTTCTTTTCCATCGTGTCCTTTTAGATCCATCTAATATACCGGTGTTATATCCAGGTAAGAATTACGAAATTTTCAGTCGAAATCTTGCAATCGCTGTCGCGCGATCCACCACTATTAGAAGACTACTAGATAGTCGTCGGTATATTTTTTCATTATAAGAAAGAAAAAAAGAACGACAACGTTTTTCTCTATCTGTGACTCGCGATTGTGTGTGACGATCATAAGAAGCATGACATATACGACGTACATGCATTGCGACATGATCCAGTGTGCTAATGCCAGGCGCGTCTGTTCTGTTTTTCTCTGCCCAACAATATAGGATTCAATCCTGAAATAATGCGAAACTGCGAACAAGCACTGTGCCAGCTGCCGTACGAGGACCCGCGTTTAATGATGAAGGGTCGATTTTTCTACGTTCGCGACGAGGAAGAGACGAAATACGAGACCGAGGACCACGGCTCGAACTCGATACTGCTGCAGAAGAGCAAAACCGCGATATACTGGGATAATCAGGAGAACCCGGAGCAGTTAATGCCGGCCGCCTGCGTGAAACCGACCACTAATACGCACCAGAAAATCTGTCAGACGGACAGGGTGGTGACGGAGACGAAGGGCGTGCAGGTGTCCGTCGTCATGGTCGACAGCGGGTCGCAGGTTTACCCGCACGACATTCAGCAGGCGAACAGAGAGGAGAGGCGACCGATAATGGATCGTCTCGATTGGGGTATGCGGGAAACCTACGACTATGCGGCGTCCAAGTTCCGCGAGGACGATCTCAGGGTCCACCTGAGCAACTCTTCGCAGAGGCGCTCCTGGAACCGGCAGGTGTCTCCGTCCAGACGATCCGAGACGATCGACCACGAGCACCGTTCCGATCCGGTTGATCACGGCTCCAGGAACGTGAGAATGGACTCCCCGTTCAAGAACAGAGACAATTATCAAGGTCACCGAGTACGCGACCACTACGGCCGGTACTCGCCGGAGTACCACGGACGTTCCATGGAGCGCGACGACTACCACGAGCGAAGGAGTGAGCACAGTCGCGGCGAGAGCCCGATGGAACTGGAAGACTCCGATGAGAACCACCGCGTCGACGACGACGACGACGACTTAGTGACCGGCTATGCGTTCCAAAGGGAACCCGAGTGGCACGGAAGAGGGAGAGCGATGAGAGGTAAAGGTCACATTTACAGAGGAAAGCACTCGGGGGGCAGGCCGTATCGGAGTCGCGGAGGCTACCGGGGCAAGTTTTAAGACCGTTCGTCACACTGTTCGCGTCATCGGAGCGACGAGATCGCTTCTCAAGAACGATTCTCGGCGATGGTTACACGTCGGGCGACTTTGTCGAACGGTCCCAGGGATACTGTGCGCGTCTGTCGCGCACAGATGATAATCCACCGTTTTGTAATCCATTGTTTGTTATTGCACACAGGAAATAAAACGAGTCGCAAGAGCGGATAAGCACGCAGCGACGAAGTCACAACTTCCATCGTGCGAATGCCCGCCCGCGACGTTTATTCGTAATTATGGATGATCAGATGAAAAACTGTAAGCACGGCGCCTCCTTGAACATCCTCGACGCCGCATGAGCGGCGAGTCCCCCTTTGTCAAGAGATCAATTGTGCAATATCCCGGTGAAACCTGCGTCCCGCCGAGAGAAATAGAGAGAGAGAGAGAGAGAGAGAACACGCTGATGCTGCTAATCTGTGCAGAAGCTGTAACAGTATCTTAATTGTAACGTATACAACAACGTATGTAGAATCGTACACGTTGTATACGTTATCTCGTGTATCTGTACGAAAACTTTGGCAGACAAGCAAGAGAAGAAGAACGGACGCGTCTCTCGCCGTTCCGTCGTCCGAAGATTCGCACGCGGGAAACCAATGATACACGACGCACCGATGAGTGTTCGCCCGACGAAAAGAGAAGCTGCTCCATGGGACGACGTAGAAATCTTCCGAAGTGGGCGCGACAAGATGAGGACTCGAACGTTGAAATGGGTTCCGGTTTGTCAGCGACGGATACACCGGCACGGCTTATCGAATAAGCTTGCGCCGAGCACTTTGTTTCGTCGTGGAGATATTTTTATCATAGAAATAGATCGTCGTGTAGTGTCTGTGTGCGCGCGCGTATCCGCCGTTAGACCATGAATATACTCTCATCGGCCGGATCTCGCTCTCTTTGCGGGGACGCTATTTTAAGGCAGTTACGCTGGAAATCGCGTCACGTCGGTGTAGGACACGGGAAAACGTCCAGTCGGGCTGTAAATTTTTTTCTCTCGAATTGCGCGTGCGGCCGAGAGACCTTCGCATCTTGCGTGTGTATTGGTCGCTGACTGTGGTTAACAGCGGCGCGTGCTCTGCCGTTGCTCGTCGTGCATTGCGTCACATATGCAATGTGTGTGTGCGTATGCCGTGCATTCTGTAGAAATTCATCTTGCAACGGTCGGCCGGCACGCGTCATGTGCGATTTTTCCTCCTACCCGATAAGTTTTATCTCGACGTGCGCGCGCTCGCTCGCTCCTTCCCTCCTTCTCTCCCTCCCTCTCCTCCGCGGAAGGTATCGGGATTTTGCGCGGGGAAAAGTACTTGTTTTATCGTGCAGTGCCATCTTATCTCGCACGAGACGCCGGTAGTAACGGTCTCGTCGACGATAATCGTTACTAGCGATACTTTGCGAATATGCGCGCTGTTGTTTGCAAAGTTGTCACTCGTTTGACATTGTCCACACGAATCCCCCTTGTTGTCGTACACATCGAAAAATCCATCTGTTTTATTTTCCTTTTGCGAGCACTTCGCTCGATAAACATGATATGATGTTCGCAGACAAATGCGCGAAGTTCCCAAGTACTCTGTACTGAGAAGTATGATTCTTCGCCCGAAATCAAAGATTCGTAAGCGACGTTATATGTATCGTAGGGAGTATTTTTTTTTTTTTTAATATAATTCGCCTATCTATGTATATCGATATTATTCTCATTACTTTGTAGTTATATGCGACGTTAAGAGATCTTTATCCCTTAGGTTGGAGATCAGACGTGTCCCCAGAGTGCTGTAAATATGTAATAAACCTGTAAAAAGTTTGATCATTTGAAGAATTCGGAACCTTTACTCGCATAATTGCGTCCTATTTTTACAACCGTATTGGTTTACAGTTACATCTCCGTGCGAAATATAGGCGATCGTGTTTATTCGTTTATATTCTCGCCCGCAGGCAAGTGATTCGCTACAGTGATCCGAGTGACTGTACAGTATCTATTTGTAATAACGCGACTAATGTTCGAATTATGATATTATTGATACGAACGACTACTGTACCTTGCGGTTATAAAAAGGAACGAATAAAGTCTTTTCACAATTTAGCTGTGTACAAAGCATTTATTCGACTTTACGCGTCTAGGTGGAATAAAAAAGAAAAAAAGAAAAACAGCCTTACTCTTTTTTTTCTTTTTTTAAACTCGCAGCATAAGTCGCTAACGATGCTCCGCGGTGGTTAATTGCGGCGCGAGATGCATCGCTTTAATCTTCAAACGCGACGGTCCCTCGTCGAAATTGCTCCGGCGAGCAATTTACGCCGCAATTTCAAACGTTCGCCGCTCGGCGCGCGAACCTTCAATTCCGAGCGGGTGCACTCGATCTCGCTCGGCGGCCTTCCTCCTCTTTCGAGAGAGAGTCAACGCGTTATCGCGAGATCGCCACGTGTCGGCGGCAACGGCGAATTATGAATGAACAATCGGAGTTCCGACGCCGCGGCGTCGATCGATCGCGATATATCGCGGTCAATAATTGAAATTACCGCCGCGCAAGAGAGAGAGAGAGAAGACGACACGGCAGTTCTCACGAGGCTGGAAGGCGGAGGGGCGCATGCGCCGCCGGCGGCGCCATCGGGCGCGAATCGAGCGCGTCCGTTGTCGTCAAGCGGCGAGGCGGCGCGACCCGCGAAGGCCGCGCCGGAGTGAGTGCGCGCGCGCGCGCTCCCGTCTCCGTCGCGCCGTCTCGCGGCCGAATCGCCAAGCACTCGGCATGGATCCAGCTCCATGTTCGCCCGTGAAAGCGATGCGGTGTCCCCGCGGTTAGGTGGACGTGCGATTCTCGTGTGTGCTGCGGGTACGCGCTGCGTAACGCGTCGTGCGAGCCGTGACGTGCGACCGTGCTACGCCGGGGTCCCCGTGCTCGGCGTTGTTGACTCGCGCGCGAGACAGTGCGTCGTCGGACAACCTCGTTTCGTGCGTCTCCGTGTGGCGTGGCGGCACAGCAGCAGTACCGGCGGCTACGATCTCGACTCGCAGCAACGGCAGCAGCTACGAAGCGTCCACCCGCGAGGACCCCGTAGAAGCCGATCACGGCTGCGGCGCGAGCTGGCGAGGGGGACTCGTCGTCGGAGCGTGTCGGCGACGGCGGCTGCGGCGGCGCGTGCTGCGAGGACGAGGTGAATGCACGGCGGCCGCGGTGTGTGCCAGTGCTGGTGTGCGCGCTCGTCGCCCGTGGAAACCCGCCAAAACCCGCGGCCGCGAACAACCAACAGCACCAACAACAACAACAACGATATCGACATCGTCGCTACGAGGGGTCGGAGTATCTTCTCGGGTGCCGACGGCGACGACGACGACGGCGGCGGCGGCGGCGGCGACGGTGGTAGTAGTCGCGAGAGGGATCATCGTCTGAGCACTCACGACGCATTGCCGCAGCGACGACGTTGTTGTTGTTGTCATCATCATCGTCGCGGAGTCTCATCGTCGTCTCGACGCATCGGTGCGTTGCCGGTTAGCTGCGGCTGGAAGAAGTCGGCCAGCAGCGACTCCTGCCCAGCTCGCTGACAACGGCGGCTGCGTTCTGTTATTATTTTGCCGCGGTGCTTTTGACCCTTCGTACCGGGCGAGTTCATTGCGGCGCTGTCGCGGGGGTGTCAGTCGGTAGTAACACATCCACCGCGCTCTCTACCGCGTATCCTCCACCTCCGTCCGTCCGTGCGTTCGTAGCAGCGCCGGCGTCGACGGAACGGCCGACGACGCGGAGGATCGGGGCGCGTCCTTAAGAAGGCCGCTCGTCGGTCTCGCGGCTGCCGGGAGGACCCGACGGCACCGTGTTACCGGGAGCCAACGAGACGAGATCGCCGGACCACGTGATATACGGTCAGTCAGCAATCGTCCGCGTCATGCGGTGCACGCACCACGCTCGCCGATAAACCGTGTACCGCGCGCGCGCGCGTGTGTGTGTTCTGTGTATGTGTGTGTGTATATTATGTGTATGTGCGTGTGAGAGAGAGACTACTCGCGGAGACCGGCACGCGTCCTCCAGCTGTCTCCCAGCCGGGGGAGACTCGATAGTGCTTCGAGACGACGATTGATACGTCCAAGGGAGCGCGTTCCGGGACAACTTCAGCCGCCCGTTGGCTCTCGTGTCATTGAAGTATCTTCGCGGAGCGGAAGGCAACGAGGAGGAGCGAGAGGGAGGGAGCAAGGAAGAAGCCGCCGACTGTCAAAAACGGGCGTCGCGCGACGAGGTCGTCGGCCCGCCGGAAGTCGTCCGACATTTTAGCGGCGGTGAGAGACGAGAGCGGAGACCACGCAGGTGTCCACGTGTGAGCCACCGCAGTCATCGGCGACCATCAACCACCACCACCGTCATCGTTACCACTACCATCGGCAGCGTCGCCAACACCACTACTACAGTCACACCGTCGCTGTACCGCCACCCACCCGCGCGCGACTTTGATCGTCGCTTCCTCGGCCACTTCCCGCGCGCGAGAGAGAAGGAGAGACGCGCTGCTCGGCAGTTACACTCGAGAGTTTCACGGCCGCGACCCGATTGCGATCGGCGAAAGGAAAGAAGGCTCGCGAGAAGAGAGCGAAGAGGCGATAATCTCGCGTGCCTACGTGCGTGTGTGCGAGAGAGAGTCGCGATCGGAACTCGCGCGTCTCTCTCTCTCCGTCGGTGGTCGTACAGTGCTTGCGCGTCGTGCCGCGCGTGCTACGTCCTTCTCGTTGTCGTGTGTCGTCATCCGCGCGCAGCGGCGTTCTCTCCCGCGCCCGACAAAGAAAGCGCGAGAACGAACGAGCGAGCGCTCTCTCTCTCGTGCATCCCAGTGACAGCGGCACGACGCCGATAACCGCGCGCGCGAAGGTGCCGTTCCTCACCGCCTTCAGTGCCGTTCTCAGCGACGTGAGTTCTTCTCTTTCGCACGCCGCGGAAAGTACGTCCCGTTTTCGTCTCCCTCTCCGCGCGCGCGATAGAGAGAGAGAGTGAGAGAGGGAGGAAGGAAGGAAGGAAGAAAGGAAGGAAGGAAGGAAGGAAGAAAGGAAGGAAGGACGGAAGGAAGGAAGAGCGACAGAGAGAGAAAGAGAACGGGATCCCTCTTCCTGGTTTCTCTCCCCCTGAAGTGCGCGACTGTCGGGCAGTGGTGAAAACCGTGGTGCCGCGCCGTTCTACGTATACATATGTATATACATGAGTATACTCGCATCGTCGTTGTCGCCCAGTGTTCGCGAACGTGCTACTCCGGCGTGTGTTGAGTTTTCTTGTTTTCTTCGGCGACCAACCGACCGGACCTACCTGCCTGCTTGCCTGCCTCCGCCCCCCTCCACGCGTCAGTCTCTCTCTCTCTCACTCTCTCTGTCTGTTACACTCGGCCTCGCCAGCGTGTTTTCGAATATCGTTCGCGACGACGGCGACGACGAGGAGGAGAAGCTGACGGCGAGTGCGGCGGACAAAGAGAACGCGCTTCTGCATTCGAGGGGGACACGCATCTCGAACGCATATTCAAGGTACGTGTGGTCTGTGTGACTGTGTGTGTGCGCGCAATGTGTGTATCGATTCGCGCGAAATTTTCCGCTTGCGAAATCGCCCGCGCAGTTTTGAGGTTAGGTCGGCCGCGCGAAAGACGCGAAAAGTTGGCTCCTTTCGGCCGCGCTCCCAGCACGCTATCGATACTTAAGATGGAGTGGATTCGTACGTGAGATTCAGTGGAGGGAGGGAGGAAGTGAGGAGGAAAAATCGCGAGGAAGCATGGGGAAAGTCGTCGCGAAGCTCGATCCGACGATCGAGGAGTAACGCGTGTCGCCTCGCGCGCATTGTTTACGCATTCGTTCGCTCCTTCCTTCTTTCCTTCGTCCGTCGCTTCGCTCGTTTGTTCGTTCGTCACGTACACGCGCGTGTGCGCGTGCCTCGCGTGTGCTGCCGCCGAAAATGTGCGCGAAGACGCCACGGGCGGAAAGTCTCGAGTGAAAATGCGAAATCGCGCCGACCGACCGTGCGCTTCCTGCCGTGCGAGGCGGACCTAACCTCAAAGCTCGTCGCGACAGGTACGTACGCCTTCGTTGTCCCTCTCTGTCGCTTCGCGCTGGGGCTCTCGTCGCGCGCACTCTCCGCGAGTCCCGCTCCTTCGGAGCGGCCGCTGCCCGCTGGAAAACAGCTGTTTAAGCGGCGCCGCGAGCGGCGAGCTCCGTGCTGTTTTTTTCGTTGCCGTGATCTCTCTCGCTCCGTGGCGGAGGCCTCGCGAAAATTCACGTAACGTTCACGCGAACGGACGCGGTGTTCCGTACTGTCGAACGTCTGTCGAAGACGGATGTGTTCTTTTTTTGTCGCGATTTCCAATACTCTTTGTAATTCTCTTTGATTTAATTTCGCCCTTTTTTTTCTTTTGCTGTACTGGCTGCACTAGAAGACAAATCCATTTTTCTTTTAATTCGTCTTCGTTCAGGTTTTCACATTCTATGGGCCGCATTTATTATTCGTTAATACGAGTAAAATTGTCGTGTTTTCGTTATCATGGGTAAAAACATGGAGATCATACTCGAACTTTGAAATTGTACAGTGGTGAATAGAAACGTTGATATATATATATTTTTTTTTTCATAGGTTTCGCAATGCATCTCGTATCCAGTAGGAAAATGTATCTCTTGAGAATAACTAGGAAACACATTCTCCTGTTGACACGGGATACATTTCGAAACTTATCCAGAGAAAAGTGTCACAACCTTTCTATTCACCACTGTGCCGACTTTAATCCTCGTAGACTGATCTGTGACCCGTTATGGAACTGTTTGGAAAGGTTTCCCTAGAAAGCACAATAAAAGTCTAGGGAATAATTGATCAATGCCGATCGGGGAAGCCTTTTCGAATATTTCACTAATATATGCCCAGTTCCAAAATAAGTATCCTGAATTTAGCGATTGTCTTTTTTTTCGGGATTATAACACTATCAGTGCTTAGACGGGGGAATTGAGTTAATCAGAATTAATCAGCGTCGGTGCAATTTGACCAGTGTCTGACCAGTCCGTCCGTTCGTCTGTCAGTTGATTGTTTAATCGGTAGTCCTGAATTCATTTCTTCCGTTCTTTTTAACGCTCGTTATTGCGCCGTGCACTCGAACCTCGTCATCCTCGACTGAAGCGTATCAATGCGTCAATGCCGCTCCGAAATATCTCAGACGGCCCCGCACCGCCAACGCGCGCCGCTGCCGCCTCCTGGGAGAGAGAGAGAAAGAGGATTCCTCGGAACTGAACAGACCTCATCTTCCGCTCGTCGTCGTCGTCGTACGTTCACGCGAAACGGACGGTCAGGAATACAACGCCGGGATGTATATAATGCACGCTTGAAGGCGCACCGCGCGCTCCCGTCCATCCGTCCTTGCGCCGCCGCGTGTTTCGTATTATCGCGCAATCGCGCCGTTAAACCGCGAGTGATAGGTAACCGGGGCGGTGTTACCGCTGCCTCGCAATCGCAGCAGCTGCCGCCGCCAAGGGCCGAGGGATGAAACGGTACGAGGAAACACACAAACGGGGGAAAAAATACGACGATGTAGGGCGAAATATAAAATAGAACGACGAAATACAAACACGCGGGGCGCGTGGGGGCGCGCGCGCGGTGGAAAGTGAAATATAAAATAGAACGGTGGTGGAAGTAAAAATACACGAGATGAAAAATGGAATGTAAACTGGAGCGATGAGAGAAGTATCGAAAATTCTTTCAAATGTGCCCGACTGATGACAACGATCTGCCGCGGTCCCAAATGACGACGATATTCGACAATTTTAAAAACGATCGCGAACGCGCGCGACGTTGGAATGAAAATAAATACGCGCTTAAGACAGTCGTTCCGGCAGAGTACTGGATTTTCTCAGTGGCGATATCAAGGGGCTCCTTCGGCTTCTATTATTTATTGAGATTAAAAGACTTTCCCATAACTTTATTCAACTATCTGAATAATAATGTTCATTTTGTGCGTGAAATTAAAACAAATATACAATATTACAAACATGGAGATATTACTTATTTTTCATTTTTCTTATTAATACTTTATATTTTTACGTCTGTTGAACTAAAGAAGTGCGTACATAATAGAAAGTGATATATATATTTAAATGTATAAATGTATTTAAGTGTGTGTGTGTGTGTCGCGGACGTTTTACTATTAATTGTAAATTTTCAATGACTGTATCTTCAAAACGGTCAAAAATTCTGCGACTCTATATTATAGCTTCTATTATCATAGTCGTTTTTCTTTAAAATCCTAAATCCTGTGGTTTAAAAGAAATTAAAAAGAGAAGTTAAAATATTTTAACCTTAAGGAACACATATAAAAAGTGTCATTTTCGTCTGCGAATATCTCAGCTTCCGAATCGTTTTCTAACTTTACAAACATGTAGACGGTACTTCTATCAATACGTAGCTAAAATTTTAAAGGATCCTAAGAAAATAGTTCGACGGAACCAACTACCTTAATAAACCACGTGCGGCGGTCGGAATTGTTCAAACAGTCGCGCATTCGACATTCCACCGGGCCCTCCTTTCCTCCTGCCCGTCGGCGAATCTTGCGATCCGTTAACGTGGTCAAAAAATTTTATTGCTGCAAAAATCCTACAGGTGGCAACACTGTGAAAGGTGTATCTCAACGATACCGCGCGATACCTTCGAGCAGTTGCGTCGCGCGCGCGTTTCGCATTATCGCGCAATCATGTTATTGCGCGCGCGTCCCCTCCGAAAAATTGATAGAGCCGCAACCACGGGGAAAACCTGGGAAGAACGACAGCGGTGACCGTCGGATATACCGCGAATCTCTCGGACGCACGAGGCTTCTCCGCGAGAATAAATTGATCCTGAGAAAGCGCGTATCAATGAAAAGAGAGAGAGAGAGAGAGAGGACGTTTTATCGCGTCTTCTCGTCGTTCCCCCGCATCTTCGATGATGTGTCGTACTTGTCGCTCGGTAATCGGATTAATGATAAATCCGCGCCTTGTATTTACGTTATTACGTAAAAATGCAGCCGGTCTCTCTCTTTTTCTCTTCCCCTCCCTCAGCTCCCTTCTCCCTCCTTTCCTCCCTCTCCCTTCTTCCATTCCTGCGGCACGGCGACGGCGGTTCTGTCGATCGCGCGCGCGATGTATTTTCGGCCATCGATCTCCTCCGTCCACGTGTACGTGCATGGCTTTCCGAAATAACATCCTAATTTTGGTGCGGCGACGTTATTATCAGTTTGATATTAAATTACGTGCCTCGAATCAATAGCTCCCGTGCTGAGCGAGTGAACGCATAGCGCGCGATTACGACGCTGGGACGGTGGTAGAGCGAATCTCTTTCTCTATGTGTGTATATGCGTGTTTCTTTTTTTCTTCTTTTCTTATTTTCGCAAATCGCCGAGGAAGAAAGCGTCCGATGACGGTTGGGAGGGAAGGAAGGGGGTTTTCCTTCTCCTGCGCGAAGAAGAAGAAGAAGCTCGTCGTCGCGGTCGCATTCATTGTCAGATTTCCACCTTATTGATTTGCCACGACTTTCGACGACGCGCCGGGACGCTAACAATGCCGTGTTCCCTGGAACAACGTTGAGTCACGGCGCTTACGTGCCGTACTTAAAACAAGAATGTGGCACGCTCGTATTGATCACAGTGTGATTTCGCGTCTCTGTACGTCTTCCCGTTTCTCTGAATGACGGATTCGGAATGCACTGCATTGTCTTCTTCTCCGTGCGGCTTACAAACTAATTACGATCGTGCAGCGCGAATTGAATTTTTTACGCGACAGCCTGCTGACGCGCGCGCGCACGGCGAGGGCTCACCTATGCGCACGTGTTGTCGTTTCCTGCACTTCCTATGCATCTCCTATGTAGGAAGAAGAAATTATTATACCGCGAAGAAAAGCGATTGCTCAGTTTATTTCTTTTTTCTTTTAAAATTAATGATGGTTTTGAAAAGGGAATAATTTTTCTTGATAATAGTATTAAAGTATACACTTACCATAAATATTAGGGAAACTCGTTATTTCATTTACTCGAAAGAAAAATTTGTTCCTTTTTCAAGAATATTAGAAACATTATTGAAGAAAAGTTAAATTCGATTAATTAGAATAAGTAAATCGGTGTTTTAGTTTTAGCGTTATAATTTAATATTCTTGATTGAAGTATTAAATTTACTTAGATTCAGAATATATTTTGAATAAATTTAATACTTATGATGAATATGCGATATACTTGCCGATATATGAACTTATGCAATAAATAATTTTGTGTTAAGACGGTCCGCTTTTGTATTACTCTAACATGGAGAATGTGTTAAAAAATACACGAATATATTTGGTGTACTTTTTAATACAGATCGTATACTTTTTAACAAATTCTCTTTTGTATCTTATATTAACACGATTCTAGTGGACAGTTTATGACACAAAATTTATTACTCTATATGAAATATTTGAAACAAGTACTGTTTACTCTCGAATGCAGCATGGATTTTTCTGTGTGCGCGCATTATCGAGAAAGTAGTTATTATCGA